TTATCCGCGAGGCCTGCCCTGGGGAGCGGCCCGCCCGAGCCGCGCCTTCTCTCGACTGTCCAACTGTTTTGCCTCGCGCCGCGGACGACCCGCGCGCGTCGCTGGAATCCACTCAGGGCGACCAGCGCGCGTCGCGGGAACCCTCTGCCGCGCGTTGCCCAGTGCCTCGCTCGCCCGTCGTCGCTCTACCCAGCAGCCAAAGTCTTGCCCGGTATCAGCCAGCAAGGTAGCTAACTCTCTTTGCTCCGCACAGCGGACGACCCGCGCGCGTCGCTGGGGCCCTTTCGGAACGACCGGCGCGTCTCGCGGGGACTCCGCGCTGCGCTGCGCCCGCAGCCTTAAGCGTCGGAGTGCGCGGGCCCTTCGGGATAAGCGGCAGGCCATCCTGGACGGTCGATTTTTTTCGCTACCCCCCCACATCGAACAGATCACGGACAGGGAGAACCACGCCGAAGGCCCCAGTGGCAGCGCCCGCGTGCCGCCGCCATCCCACTTCGGCACGCCCCTCACACGGTTCATGGCCCCATAGGGAGCGCCACCGAAGACGATGTTCGCACTTGCGGTATTCACAGCTGCATTTGGTTCGGTCCTTCGCCGAGCTAACTTTTCAGCTTGGTCGTTCTTCCTCTCGCCTTCCTGTTTTTCCTCCCGTTTTTTCCCTCCAGTTCTGCCCCTCCTACTTCTCCTCCTTCTCAGCCTCCTCTCTCGAAAGAGCCACGGAGGAACACGTGGTTCACCTTTGGGTCTGCTCAGACAGATTTTGATCCCGAGCTTCGGCTTGATGACTGCCTCAACTTTTTGTTTCGCTGCAGGCTCCTGCGCTTGCTTGATCACTGCCATTCGCCGGGGCAGCGTTTCTGGATGGGCTGGTAGGGTTTTTTCCCAACCATCCTGTGGTGTTGGGTCCTCGTTTTGAAGAGACGGTGGCCCGCGTCTCCTCCTCTCCTCCTCCTCTGCCGTCCGCATGCGTCCCGCGCACCCATTTCGGCACACCCCTCACACGTTTCGTGGCCCCATAGGGAGCTCCACCGAAGGCCCCATGGCTGCCGTCCGCATGCGTCCCGCACACCCATTTCGGCACACCCCTCACACGTTTCGTGGCCCCACAGGGAGCTCCACCGAATGCCCCATGGCTGCCGTCCGCATGCGTCCCGCACACCCATTTCGGCACACCCCTCTGCCGTCCGCGTGCGTCCCGCACACCCATTTCGGCACACCCCTCACACGTTTCGTGGCCCCATAGGGAGCTCCACCGAAGGCCCCATGGCTACCGTCCGCATGCGTCCCGCACACCCATTTCGGCACACCCCTCACACGTTTCGTGGCCCCATAGGGAGCTCCACCGAAGGCCCCATGGCTGCCGTCCGCATGCGTCCCCGCACACCCATTTCGGCACACCCCTCACACGTTTCGTGGCCCCATAGGGAGCTCCACCGAAGGCCCCAGTGCTGCCGTCCGCATGCGTCCCGCACACCCATTTCGGCACACCCCTCACACGTTTCCTGGCTCCACAGGGAGCTCCACCGAAGGCCCAGTGCTGCCGTCCGCATGCGTCCCGCACACCCATTTCGGCACACCCCTCACACGTTTCGTGGCCCCATAGGGAGCTCCACCGAGGGCCCCATGGCTGCCGTAAGGCCCCATGGTTGCCGTCCGCATGCGTCCCGCACACCCATTTCGGCACACCCCTCACACGTTTCGTGGCCCCACAGGGATCTCCACCGAAGGCGCCAGTGCTGCCGTCCGCATGCGTCCCGCACACCCATTTCGGCACACCCCTCACACGTTTCGTGGCCCCACAGGGAGCTCCACCGAAGGCCCCAGTGCTGCCGTCCGCATGCGTCCCGCACACCCATTTCGGCACACCCCTCACACGTTTCGGGGCCCCACAGGGAGCTCCACCGAAGGCCCCAGGGCTGCCGTCCGCATGCGTCCCGCACACCCATTTCGGCACACCCCTCACACGTTTCGTGGCCCCATAGGGAGCTCCACCGAAGGCCCAATGGCTGCCGTCCGCATGCGTCCCGCACACCCATTTCGGCACACCCCTCACACGTTTCGTGGCCCCATAGGGAGCTCCACCGAAGGCCTCAGTGCTGCCGTCCGCATGCGTCCCGCACACCCATTTCGGCACACCCCTCACACGTTTCGTGGCCCCATAGGGAGCTCCACCGAAGGCCCCATGAGCTGCCCGTCCGCATGCGTCCCCGCACACCCATTTCGGAATCACCCCTCACCGTTTCGTGGCCCCCCAAGGAGCTCCACCGAAGGCCCAGTGCTGCCGTCCGCATGCGTCCCGCACACCCATTTCGGCACGCCCCTCACACGTTTCGTGGCCCCATAGGGAGCTACCACCGAGGCCCATGCTGCTTCCGCATGCGTCCCGCACACCCATTTCGGCACACCCCTCACACGTTCGTGGCCCCACAGGGAGCTCCACCGAAGGCCCCAGTGCTGCCGTCCGCATGCGTCCCGCACACCCATTTCGGCACACCCCTCACACGTTTCGTGGCCCCATAGGGAGCTCCACCGAAGGCCCCATGGCTGCCGTCCGCATGCGTCCCGCACACCCATTTCGGCACACCCCTCACACGTTTCGTGGCCCCACAGGGAGCTCCACCGAAGGCCCCAGTGCTGCCGTCCGCATGCGTCCCGCACACCAGGTGTGTGGCGTGCCGACATGGGCGTCGCGGCGCGCGGGCGCTGCCGTCGGGGTTCCCAGGGAAGCCCCCTGCAGAGGCGACGCTCAGAGTCACGAGTACCGAGAGTCACGCAGACCCAAACTGTTCACAGTCGTATACATACATTTACACTGGGCGTATCCATGCACGCATTCATGCGAATAGAATCAATCGCGCGCAGATTCATTCATAATCAGACTCGCTCGCGATCCGACTCGCACGCGCTCAAGCTTTCATATTCGGACCTATCGTCTTCGTTCGTGTTGTGTACACTGCCACGCATTTCGGCACACCCCTCATACGGCTCGTGGCCCCATAGGGAGCGCCACCGAAGAAGATATTCACAATTGCGGTACTCTCAACTGCATATGGTTGGGTCCTTCGCCAGGCTAATTTTTTTCCGCGAACGCAAGAAGAAGGGCCGAAGTGTACACAACACGAACGAAGACGATAGGTCCGAATATGAAAGCTTGAGCGCGTGCGAGTCGGATCGCGAGCGAGTCTGATTATGAATGAATCTGCGCGCGATTGATTCTATTCGCATGAATGCGTGCATGGATGCGCCCAGTGTAAATGTATGTATACGACTGTGAACAGTTTGGGTCTGCGTGACTCTCGGTACTCGTGACTCTGAGCGTCGCCTCTGCAGGGGGCTTCCCTGGGAACCCCGACGGCAGCGCCCGCGCGCCGCGACGCCCATGTCGGCACGCCGCGCACCTGGTGTGCGGGGCGCATGCGGACGGCAGCACTGGGGCCTTTGGTGGAGCTCCCTGTGGGGCCACGAAACGTGTGAGGGGTGTGCCGAAATGGGTGTGCGGGACGCATGCGGACGGCAGCACTGGGGCCTTCGGTGGAGCTCCCTGTGGGGCCACGAAACGTGTGAGGGGTGTGCCGAAATTGGTGTGCGGGGCGCATGCGGACGGCAGCGCTGGGGCCTTCGGTGGAGCTCCCTGTGGGGCCACGAAACGTGTGAGGGGTGTGCCGAAATGGGTGTGCGGGACGCATGCGGACGGCAGCACTGGGGCCTTCGGTGGAGCTCCCTGTGGGGCCACGAAACGTGTGAGGGGTGTGCCGAAATGGGTGTGCGGGACGCATGCGGACGGCAGCCATGGGGCCTTCGGTGGAGCTCCCTGTGGGGCCACGAAACGTGTGAGGGGTGTGCCGAAATGGGTGGTGCGGGACGCATGCGGACGGCAGCGCTTCGGTGGAGCTCCCTGCCACGGCGTGTTGCGGACGGCAGCACTGGGGCCTTCGGTGGAGCTCCCTGTGGGGCCACGAAACGTGTGAGGGGTGTGCCGAAATGGGTGTGCGGGACGCATGCGGACGGCAGCCATGGGGCCTTCGGTGGAGCTCCCTATGGGGCCACGAAACGTGCGAGGGGTGTGCCGACATGGGTGCGCGGGACGCATGCGGACGGCAGCGGAGGAGGAGGAGAGGAGGAGGAGGAGAGGAGGTGGGACGCGGGCCGTCTTCTTTTCAAAACGAAGACCCAACACCACAGGATGGTTTGGAACAACAGCTAACAAGCCTCCCCCCCCCACTCCTCCGGTCACCGTCATCGGTCCCCCTTTCCTCGCCCTCCCTGCCGCGCGCCCCCCCGCTTCTCCCTGGCACCCCTGTGAGGGCGCCCCGGCTCAGAGCGCCAAGTCGAGCAGGCCCCGGCCGCCCCAGGCGGCCCGCGCCGCCTGTAGTTCGCCCAGCGGTTGCACGATCATGATCTAAACTTCTAGATATCTAAATATCTAAATCGGCGAGGCGCTGGCACTGAGGTGTTGAGATTATTATGTCAGTAGTGCACCCAGCGGTCGCTGGATCTAAATATCTAAATATCTAAACATCTACATCGCCGAGGCGCTAGCATGTATGCGTGTAGATTCTTAGATTTAGATATTTGGATCGGTAGTCCACCCAGCGGCCCCAATATCTAAACATCTAAGTATCTAAATATCTAAGTAGGCATGGATTTAGATATTCAGATTTTTAGATCGGTAGTTCACCCAGCGGCCCGAGGATTTCAACATCAAACTATCTAAATATCTACGTGGGCGAGGCGCTGGTATTTAGATATTTAAATATTGAGATATTCAGATCGGCAATCCACCCAGCGGCCGCAGGACCCATATATCCAGAGGCTGGATTATCTAGATCGGTGGGGCGCTGGCATGTAGATATATAAATACTCAGATCGGCAATCCGCTCAAAGGCACCTGGGTCTGGACATCTGAATGCCAGAATGCTTGCATCGGCGAGGCGATTGGTATTTAAACATTGAGATATTTAGATCTTGAGATCGGCAATCTACAGAGAGGTCCCAAGATCTTAGCCGGGGTATAGCGGGCTAGACTCAGCGTCGCAAGGTCCGATGGCATTGTGGGCGCCAGACCTCCTCCCTTTCGAACTCGCGCGCGAGGTGGCTGCCGCTGGTGCTTTAGCGCCAGCGCCTCGCCAATGCACTCGATCTCCTTGGGCTCCACGTCGTCGCCGTAGAGGGTTGCCATCATCGGGTCGTGCCTGCCCGCGTCGGCGGCGGGGGGCTTGAACGTGGTGGATAAATCCGTGTGCGCGTAGCAGTTGACCTCGGGGCTCTTTCTGATTCCCACCGCTGCCTTGCCAGGCTCGATCTCCAGACGCGCGTCCTTGAATGCCGGGCGAGGCTCCGCCCTCCTCTGCTGGTTGCACCACTTGCAGAAGGTCTGGGGTATGTTGTTGTTCCCTGTAATCAAAAACCTTGTCAGCGTTTTGCGTGGCATCTTGCGCGCGATGGAGAAGCTCTCGTCGGGGTCGCCACCCCCCTCGACCTGCGCCGCTGCTGCAGGGCTCGCGTAGTCAAGGAGCCACCCCTCGCCCCGCGACGGTCGCCTCGCGTTCTTGTCCTCGCTAATGTGGAGAAGGATCGCGTCCGCCTGGTTCGCTGCTCTTTCCATGCGCAGCGCCTGCTGGACGTTCGTCGCGGCGGCGTGCTTCCAAACTCCGCTGTGGCGCCGATGCGCCTGCCCGTCGCGCACGCGCCACGGGCTTTTCGACCCCCCGAAGACAGCCACGCACGCGCGCGGCAGGAAGTGATCGTGGGCGCGAGCGCCGCCCCGCCCTATCTCGTCAACATCGGTCTTCGTGGCGCGTAGCTCGTCGTACTTTTTCCGGGGCGATCGTTGTTCCTTGCCGCCAGCTTCTGCGCGGCAGCGTGCGTCTTCCAGGCCTCGTCGTTCAAATGCATCTCCTTGTCGCCCATGCCCACTTCGTCGACCGCGACCGTGACGCGGTCTGCGAGGGCGCTCGAACTGCGGCCGAACTTATGGGATATGCTCTCCTTGTGCGTGCCTGTGGAGAGCACCGCGCCTGGAGAAGGCGCAGGAGTCGCCCGCGGGGTTCGGTTCCGCCCGCGCTCCCGCTCGTCCCATGACGTCCTCTGGGAGCGCGCTAACTGGCCGCGCCCGCGACGGACGCTTCCCCTGCCCGAAGGGCGCGCCGAGCGCGCTCTGGGGCCACCCTGTCGCGAAGCCAAAACGGTTGCGATCGCGTTAGCACCGATGATAAAGATGTGCGTCATGTGGTGCTTCGCGCTAACCGCAACGATGGCGATCTCCCAGGATGGCCTCGGGGTGGCCCCAGAGAAAACCCCGAGAGCCCCCCGAGAAACTTCTGAGAGGCGCCCCGCGAGCCCCCTCGTATTCATCGAAGGCGCCCCCGGGGCGCCAGATGACCCCGCGACCGTCGTGCGCGCCGCCTTCTTCTAAGATGTCAGCAGCATGGCGCAAGCCATTTGAATGCGCTCAACAACAAATCGGAAAGCTCTTGCCTGCAACCGAGTGTCTGGCCCTGGAGGAGCCTTCGCGGGCAAGAGCGTGTTTTCGTGTTTTCGGGCCGAATCGTTCGATCCTCTCCGGGGTCGGCATCTGCTCTCCGCGGCGGTGCTGTTTGGTCGCCGCGGCCAGATAACTCCTGGGGTTGTCGCGAGCACCCGCGTCTGAGGGTTCGGCGGGATGGCGTGAGCCATGTGGATGCGCTGAACACGTGCCGAATATGCCCCTGCCCACTGCGGGTTTCTGGCCCTGGAAAAGCCTTAGTGGGCAAGAGCGTGTTTTCGTGTTTTCGGGCGGAATCGTTGGATTGTCTCCGGGGTCCGCATCTGCTCTCCGCAGCGGCGCTGTTTGGTCGCCGCGGCCAGATAGCTGCTGAGATTGTCGCGAGCACCCGCCTCTTCTGAAGGTTCGGCGGGGCGACGCAAGCCATCTGCGTGCGCTCGAACCAGACCGAACAGCTTCTGCCCGCAGCCAGGTTTCCGTCGCTGGAAAAACCTCTGCGAGCAAGAACGTTTTTTCGTGCTCGCGGGCCGAATCGTTGTTCCCCCGGGATCGGAATGCAAAAGCTCTCGCCCCCAACCAGGTTCTACCCACCCCAAACAGATTTCTGTAGTGAACAAAGACTTGTGTTTTGCATTTCTTCCTGGTGGGGTGTCTGGTCGCCTTGTGTCTGGCAGGCGCAGTCGTCGTTGTCGCTCTCGCGGTCGCGCCCCTCGCCCTCGCTGTCGGCCGCGCTGCTCGCGTCGCCGCGCAGTTCGTTCAGGCGCCAGTGCCGCCTGTGAAGATTGTAATGGAACGTGGCGACATTTGAAATCTCGCAGCGCACAAACTGCAATCCCGTATCAGACATGGCAAGAGTTTGCTCCGCAGCTTCGCATATCCCCCCGCCGAGGCTCGCTCCTCGACGCGCGACTTCCCGGTCAAAGCGCGGGGGGGCTTTTAAATCCCCCCGGAATAGACGGCGCGGCTCCTCCATGCTAGCGTGAGAGTCGCCCCGCTGCTGCAGCGCTGCCCGCCCCACTCTGCTTCCGCACCCCGCTCGCGACGTTGGCGCCTGCCAGAGCGCCTGGGCCCATGGGCGCCCCGCGTTGCGAGCGCCACCCTGGGTGGCGTTGCCTGTTCGCGCGAGACTGCTCCGACGGGGAAGAAGCGTTCTCGCCCGGGAATGTGCCGCGCACTGTCACAAGGTCCAGTGACGCTTGCAGGCGGGATGCGTTGTCGAAGTTGATGTCCCGATCCATGTTGTCCCTGATTCGCATCGAACGTTTGGTGGTGAACTCACGCTTGTTCTTCGAGTTGAGCGCCTCTCTGTTGAAAGCGCCAGTGAACAACAGTCGGGATCTATGGTGTTTGCTAAAGCATTTGCGGCTTCCCAAAACTGTGCGCCCGCCCAACCCTTGCCGACATTTTTCTCACAACTCCTTCAACTAAGAGCGGCCATTGATCGTGGCTCGCAGCGCGGCGGCCATCCGCCTTTCGAAGGACTTTGCCCTGCGATGATACGGAAACAAAGCGCAGTCTGCGGATCGGTGCACTCATCGCTTTTCTATAGTTCGTGAGCAACGCTGCTGCGGATCTGCGAACATGGACATCGCAGGCGTCGCCCTGCTGACTCATGACACGATATTGAACAGACACATCGCGCAACAATTTGTGACCGCCCAATTTCTGGTAATAGGCCGCCTGGGCGCGGCGCCCGACAACTTCCTGCAGCGCCGCGGAGGTTGTGGCCGCGAACAGACGCGCAACGCCGAGAACCCCTGAACAGCGAAACGTGGACATCTACTTCTGCGGGGAAGGGGGTGAACCGACCAAGTTGAGCCAAACCAAGTACGGCAGGTTCGCGTCGTGCCGACCCCAGCGCTGGTTTTTGACACCGCAGGGATCGTTCAACCTTGAACGATCGGCCGTCTCCGCAACGTCCGATCGTTCAACATCGACCGATTCTGGGCCGCCGGCGGCGTTCAACCTTGAACGCCCGCGCTGGGGTCGCCGCTGGTCGACACGACGCAAACCTACCGTACTTGAGCCAAACTTGTTACGGTATTGTCAGGGGAACGTAAGACCTGGGCACAGGGGACTCGGGAATCCCCGACGAGGTCGTCAAAAAAATGACGAGGCCGAGCCTGTATTTTGACGAGGCCTCCCGCTGCAGACATCCCACGAAACTCCTCCTCGCCAAAATCCGAAGCGCGGTCGCCAAAAAACGATGGCGAACCCGAGTCCTGGCAAACCCGGGTCTTATGCTCCCCCGATATTGGCGCTCATGGCGGCGATAATGACGAAGACGGACGGCCCGAAAACGATTTCCAAACTTGTTACGATTTTGGCCGTACTCGAGCCAAACTTGTTACGATAATGACGAAGATGGACGAACTCGAGCCGAACTTGTTACGGTATTGGCGCCAATGGCGGCGATAGTGACGAAGATGGACGGCCCGAAAAGATTTCCAAACCAGGTCACGTCGGCCCGCGAAGCTCGCAAGTAGCCCAGGGACGAGCCAAGTGGCCCGCAGGATCGTTTTCGTCATCGATGTCGTCATCGTCGTCGCCCTCTTCCTCCTCCATCTTCTCCTCCTCCTCCTCCTCCTCCTTCTCCTCCTCCTCCTCCTCCTCCTCCTCCTCCTCCTCCTCCTCCTCCTCTTCATCTTAATCCAACGCATGATGCAAACACACACGGAACACATCATGCAAAGAGTGGTGTACTTGAGTTCTCGTCGCTCCGACGCTTCTCTGGGAGCGTCGCCGGCTCCACTGCGTTCCTAATCCACAACTTCCTCCTCCTCCTGCTCCTCCACCTCTCCGCCTCTTCTTTCTCCTCCTCCTCTTCATTTTCATTCTCCTCCTCCTCCTCCTCCTCCTCCTCCTCCTCCTCATCGTCCCCATCATCCTCGTCGTCGCCGTCGTCCTCGTCGCCATCCCTTTTTCTTCTTCTTCCTCCTTCTTTTCGTCTTTCCTTCTCCTTCTCCTCCTTTTCCTCTCCCTCCTGCTCGTCGTCCTCCTCCTCTCCCTTCTCCTCCTCATCCTCCTGCTCCCCCTCCTCCTCATCCTGCCCCTTCTCCCCCCCCACTCCCGTTCCCCCCCTGTGGACCCATGTGATCTAGACCTTTAAATATCTAGACCTTTAGGTTTTCTGGGTGAGCCTCTTTGGCCAAATGGTCCGGGACCAAGGTTCGTACTGCCCCCCCCCCCCCCCTCTCCCTGTCATGCCCCTCCCCGGTGCGCCCCCCTTTCCCTGCCCCCTCTTCTCCCTGGCCCCTCACGCCCTCCTCTCCCCGCCCGTCCCCCTCGCCTCCTCCCGTTTCGCCCCTCATCTCCGTCATTCTGGGCCTGGCCTTCCCACTCCGCTCTGGACGCGCAGACGGACCTGACCTTGCGACAGCTGCTGCCGCTGGTCCTAACTAGATCCGAACTTCGACCCACCCGGGGCGCCGCGGGCAAGCCGTTTTAGAGAGACGGTGCTGCTAGGCGACCAGCGCCGCGGCGGATCAGGGTGGTAAGTCGACTGGCAGGACCGATCCGCCTGGGGAGTCGAAATCGTTCAAATCTGTCCAGGGGCACCACAACCTTTCCACACATCCGAGGTGGAGAAAAGCCGTCTAAAATATAGGAATATGCAGACTACGGAGAAAGCGTACTTATGCTAAGAAATACGAGAGCTGCAAGAATAATGCACATCATGCTCGGAACAAACAAGCGATGATGATAGTCCATCACAGGAATACAAACAACACCACATAACCCTCCACAACGGATGCCGAGCCTCCATTCCTGTGCTTTGGAAACCTCGGGACTCATCCTGCGCTCCTTCGCCCCTCTTCCTTTGCCCCTGCGCTCTTGTCGGGTGCTGCCAGGGGTCTCCCTGGCCGAAGGGGCCTCCACGATCTCCGTGGAGGCCCCCGCGGCCTCCAGAGCACCCCCCACGAGGCCCTAGAATGTCTCAAAGGGCCGCAGACTGGCGAGAGAAAGCCGGAGGTCTAGCAGGGCCAAGGCAGGATCAACCAACATCGAATCGGGGAATCGGATCGGCTCGGAATGTGCGCCAGATCGGGCTGCGTCGGTACGTGGTCGACCTCGACGCGGATCGGCTGCTCCAGGATGCGCAGCATCAACAATGCAAGCATCGGGCCGCACTGGATCGCCCGAACTTCGGAATCGAATCGAACGGGACCGGCCAGAAGCGATCTCGAATCGGATCGATCGCATCGACATGGGCTCTGCAGGGACACCTACACCTTTGGCCCCCCCGAGCGACGACGACGAACGGCGACCGACGACGACGACGACGACGACGACGACGTACGGACGGCGACCAACGACCAACGGCGACCGACGACGACGGCGACGACGACGACGACAACGACGACGACGACGACGGCGACGACGACGACGACGACTTCCGACGACGGACGACGACGACGACGACGTCTGGGCGGCCTGGGCGACGCGGAACATCTCGCGGACCAGCTTGGGCCCGTCGCCGAGGTACTGCCCCCGGGGGCCGGAGGTGAGGGCGGCAGGGAGAAGGGCTGGTCTGGCTCCCCTCTGCTGCTGCTGCTCGTCCACTGTCCCCCGTTCCCACCCCTGCAGCCGGACCTGGGACAGAAGAACATCCCTCAAGAACATGAGACCTTCGCCATCCAAACTGAAGAACATCCAAGGGTTCCCCCGCCCGTGATGCACAACAACATCCAGCAAACACGAAGAACCTGAGGGGTAACCTCTCCGAACCGACCTCGATCTTATACCCCGGTCCGACTGTACCCCTCTCCCCTCCGCGTGGCTCCCGCTCCTCCTTGTCCTCATCCGCCACCGTGCCTGCGGCACGCGGAGGCGTGGAAGAATGCCACGGGCTGCCTGGCAAGGCTTTTATAACATTCCGAGGGGCCCCCCATCTCGGTCACACCCACCGGACAGCATCGCTCCTGCTTCCAGGGGTCCCTGGGCGGCCTTGGCGCCTCCCTGGGGCTCTCCGAGGCTTCCATCACGGCCCAGGAGGCCGACCAAGACGGTCCAAGAGGGCCCCAGGTCGCCGAGCGATCGCTCGAAGGCACCCAAGATGGCCTCAAGGTGGCCCAAGATGGCCTCCAAGACGCCCCAAAAGGCCTCCAAGAGGCTTACCAAGAGGGCCCCAAAATGCAAGAATCATTGATTTTCGTTAGGTGTTTGAGGGATTTGGGCGTCCTCGGCTTTAAGGCTTTCTGACGCTTCAAGACGGCCCAAGAGGTCCCCAAGACCACCCCCAAACGGCCCAATAGGCCTCCAAGAGAGCCCCAAGACGGCCTAAGAGCGCTCCAAGATGGCCCAAGGGAGACGGCCCAAGAGATCCCCAAGACGGCCTCAAAAGGGGCCAAAGAGAAGGAACACGAACCAAAAATCCGAGCCTTCCGCTCCAAGAGGCCCCCAAGAGACCCCAAGAGGCGCTCAAGAGGTCCCAAGAGGCCTCCAAGGCCCAAGAGGCCGCCAAGAGGCCCTGAAGAGGCCACAAGAGGCCCCAAAACGGCACCCAAGAGGTCACAAACTGTTTCCAAGAGGCTCCCGAGAGGGCTCCCACGAAATCCCAGCGAACATTCAACAAGCTTCATACCCATACCCACAATCCAGGCACGGTGGCGGGACTTGCCGTAGGCAGCTGGATAAACAGCTCCGCCCTGTGGCACCCCAAGACGAGTCGGTAGGGCCGAGCGTTTCGCTCAGGACTTCCTCACCATTTATGACCCTTAAGCTTGAAACTTGCAGCACTTTCAAAAGGATAGAGGGCGGATGGTGTTCAACATGCGGTTCCCGCCTTAGCGACGCGCGCATTCGTGGTAACAATTCGTAGGAGCTTCATGCCTGGAGGGCGTGTCGTTTTCACAGTGTGGCTCTCGCCTTGGCGCCGCGAGCATGCGTCTGGCTCTCGTTTTGCCGCCGCACATATTCGTCTCAACAGTTTACAGCAACGTTCGCCCATTCTGACGGTTGACGTCGCAGAGATGGTGTTTTGGCACGGTTTAGGATTGTCAGGGTGCAACAGGCACGTTGGTTCGCGGTGTTGACGTCCCAGAAAATGGTGTTCTGACGCGAATTCGGATCGCCAGGCCGCAACAATGACTTTGAGTCGCGGCGTTGAAGTCACAAGAATGGTGTTGTGGCGCGGTTGAAGATTTTCAGACGGTCGAACATGAGTCTTTTTAGGACCTTGAGAGGAGGGAACTTGGAGGGAGGGTTTCGTGCAACATCGTCGATGAGTCTTGGGTTTGCACAGGTCATCCTCCTCCTCCTCCTCCCGCACCTCTTCTCCTTATAAGCAGCTCCCCTCCCTGTCGCGCCACCAAACGCGTCGGTGGGGCGGCCCGTGCGTCCCGCTAAAACCTAGACAGTAACTCTTTATGACCGTGACGCATCGAAGCTGCACGGAGGGCGGCCTGTCAGCACGGGGCTCCCCGCTCGGCGCCGCGCGCACGCGTCGTAGCACTTTGCAGCAGCTCTCTGCACGGGGGGAGGGCTGCAGATTCCCGAGGTGTGGCTCTCGCCCCAGCGGCGCGCGCACTCGCCTGAAAAACTTGCGGCGCTGGCTCGAACGTAAAAAAAGCTTGTCCTTAGGATGGGGCGGTGGCAATTGAGAGGACGTGTTGCGTTTGGTTTTCAATACGTGGCCCTCGCTGTGAAATTCTTCGACCTTAGCGACACCAAGCTTGAATACAGGCAACAGCCGTACGGATGAACTACGGCAGGTTCGTGTCGTGCCGACCCCAGCGTTGGTTGTTGACACCGCAGGGATCGTTCAACCTTGAACGATCGGCCGCTGCCGCAACGTCCGATCGTTCAACATCGATCGATTCTGGGTCGCCGGCGGCGTTCAACCTTGAACGCCCGCGCTGGAGTCGCCGCTGGTCGACACGACGCAAACCTACCGTACGCTTTCTTAATACATTGAAGGGTGTCGCTGTAGGCTTCCTCACACGTGATGAATGTGTGCACCACTTACTCTGATGGGCACAGCTCTTTTCGAAACGGGGCTCTCGTTGGATGCTTCGGTGAACTTGACGGTTCACGTCCATGATGTCGGGCAACTCGCCAAAAGGATGTACTACAGCTCCTTTTCAAAATGGGGCTCTCATCTGACTGGCATGCCCGTCGGGTGCTCGCCCTTCAAAGGGGCGCCCCTCAAGTTAGAAGGAAAGCCTGGACGGTCTTGTGAGGAGCGGCTTTGGGACTGGAAGGCTTACTGCAACATCGTTGATGCGTCCTTGGTTTACTCTGGTCCTCCTTCCCACCTCCGCCCCCATACACCGCCCTTTCGGCTGCGCCCTCTCTCAGTCCTGCTCCTCCGGCTGCTGCTTCTCTTGCTCCTCTCGCCTCGCCCTGCTCGTCCTTTTGCTGCCTCTTCCTCCTGCTGCCCCCCCTCCTACCCTTGCTCCTGCGTCGCCTCGCGCCCTGCCCCCCGTGCAGTATTGGGCATGCGCTCGGGCAGATCTTCTGAGCCGCTGACGATGCTCCTTCTCATCATCTCCCACCCTCCTCGGGAGCGAGCGAATGAGAGGGAGAGAGGGAGAGAGATAGAGCGAGAATCTACAACGAGAGCCAGAACGATCGAGAGCATAACACCGTTCGTGGACGGCAACGTCTCATGGACGCCCATGGCCCATGCTCCATATGTGTGTGTGTGTGTGCGTGTGTGTGTGTGTGTGTGTGTGCGTCTGTGCGTGCGTGCGTGCGTGTGTGTGTGTGTGTGTGTGTGTTTCTGTGTGTGCGTGCGCCGCTTCTCCCTGTCCGTCTCTCCGCTCGCCCTCGGGACTCTGCTGCGCCCGCGCACGCTAGTCTTTTGCACTGTGCAGGCTGCCACGGCCCCTTGCTCCCTTTCCCCCCCCCCCCCCCAGGGCGGCTCGCTCCCGAACGTACGTGGCGCTCGGCTCGTGCCGTGCTCCCTTTTCGACCAGCTGAGCCTTCTCACAACCGTCCAGGCTTGCCGTTCTCCCAAGCCGGGTTGCGTTGGCTTCGCACCGGCGCCGATCGGTTTTGCGACGCATCCGGCCGCGGAGACCAAATTAGAGAAAGCGCGCGCGAGCGTGTGTGCTCTTGTGTGTGTGGTGGTAGTTGAACTAAGCGTGGCCCGCCCCCAATTTTCGCTGCGGACTCATCCCGCCGCCGACGCAAAAAATGTGTGCGCGTGTCTGCGTGCGGAGTTTCGTCCGCATAGCGCTGTAACGTTCTTATCGGATCGCGCGCTCGCATTAAGGAATCCTCTGCGCGTGGCCAATGGCACATCATCCTCTCAGAGGCGAGCTAATGAAGCGAGCGTGTAACATGGCGCATCCAATCGAGCACAGCGCACTCTTCGGATGCAGGAGCCATGGATCCATCGTTGGCGAACTTTGGCCAGTGAAATCAGCGACGCGCATGAAGCCCTGCGCCAAGCCTGTTTGCGAAATGACCTTACCGATCGTGCGCCATCTTGCGCTACGAATCTGTTCAGCCTGACGGCTTCCTACATCGCTTTGCAACTGAAGGCGCAAAAGACAAATATAAATGTACACGGATGAAGGACACATGTGCCGTGGGAAGGAGAGGACTTGCAGTCACATATAGTTGAAGACAACGGGCGGTGATGGGAAGCACGTGCGGAGGAAACGTGCCGCAGACGGCGCGCCTTCTGGATGAGCTCGCTCCCCACCACGCGCAGGAAGGTTGCCGAGGTCTCGTTGGCCACGGCCTTGGCCAGCAACGTCTTGCCTGCTGCCAGCGCCGCCGGAAATCCCACGCGATCTTACTCTTAGACGCACGCATCCTGCCTGGCAGGGAGGGCGAGCACGAATCGGTACCATAACGGGGCCAGCAAATGCATCAACAGCTTCGCGCACACCACATTGGCGAGAAGACGCGACCGCCCCACGCGCGCCAGTCAGACATTCGGCGCGGGATTCTGCGATTGAATGTCCATGCGTGCAGGATGGTGTAGGGTCCCTCAAGATCGAATCGGGAAATCGTATCGAATCGAAGTTTGCATCGAATCGGGCTTCATCGGCACGGAATCGCAATCGGATTGGTTCGGCTGCGCCGACATGCACAACACCGCCATGCAAACCTCGGGCCGCATCGGACTGCCAAGCCATCGAAATCGAATCGGATCGACGTGCCCGGACGGCCCTGCCGATACGTCTGGTGGTGCGACAGGGAGAAATCATCTATGAGGAGAAGGGATGGACGAGCAGGAGGAGGAGTAGGAGGAGAAGGAGGAGGGAGGAGAATAAGGAGCAGGATGATCATGATGATTATGATGATGATCATGATGATGATGCTGATGATGATGATGATGAGGAGGAGAACAAGTAGTAGGAAAAAGAGGAGGATGAGGAGGAGGAGGAGGGAGGAGGAGGACGAGGAGGAGGACGAGGAGGAGGAGGACGAGGATGACTGCCCTGGCCCCCAACCATCTTCGCGCACCCGCGCGCCATGGCGCCGCCCCCCTCGGAGGAGGGCAGGCGCCCCGGCTCAGACCGCGACGCGCGCGGCGTCTCCACCTTCGCGCCCCCGCGGGTGACCCTCGACCCTTGGTCCTCAACCCCCGATCCTCGACTCTCGACCCTCAATCGACAACGACCCTCGACTCTCCATCCTCGATCGGCAACCCTCGACCCTCGATCCTAGATCCTCGATCGGCAACGGCCCTCGGCCCTCGAACCTCGGCCCTCGATCGACAACAGCCCTCGACCCTCGACCCCCGGCCCCCGCGGGTGACCTAGATCCTCGGCCCCCTCGGCAACCCTCGACCCTCGGTCCTCGATTCTCGATCCTCGATCGGCAACGACCCTTGACCCTCGACCCTCGGCCCCCGCGGGTGACCTGGAGGATCGACACCGAGCTGGACCGATCGGATCGGTGCGGGCCCTGCGCGCGCCTCTCTCTCGCCCACCTTTTTGCCGGCGAGGGCGTGCGCGGAACGCGCTTCTGCATGGGCCGGCGGTCCTACTTTTTGATCTGCGGCTCCAAGGACGATTCCAGAGAGCGGGCCGTATCGAGCATGGGGTAGCACGCCAGACAATTACCAGCGGGCCCAAAGCCAGCGCCGGAGTGCAAGCAAGAGCACGGGTAAGCACGCCAGGAGGCAGGGGGCCAGGAGGTGAGCAAGCGGTCATACGCGAGGCAAGAGGAAATCCGCACGCACACGTGCTACCGTATGCGTGCTGCACGCATAACTAACCTCCTCCTCCTCCCTCCTCCTCCTCCTCCTCCTCCTCCTCCTCCTCCTCCTCCTCCTCCTCCTCCTCCTCCTCCTCCTCCTCCTCCTCCTCCTCCTCCCCCTCCTCCTCCTCCTCCCTCCTCCCTCCCTCCCTCCTCTCCCTCCCTCCCTCCCTCCTGCTCCTCCCCCTCCTGCTCCTCCTCCTCCTCTTCCTCCTCCTCCTCCTCCTCCTCCTCCTCCTCCTCCCCCTCCTCCTCCTCCTGCCCCTCTGTGTCCCTCATCCTTTACGCTAGGCGGACTTGAGCAACTAGGCTGAAGCGTTTTGGTGGCAGGAAAAAAGGATAACCGCCTGAGTGCAGGCTGAGCGGTGCAGGAAGTGTGACGAGAAGCGGAACAGTGGAGGGCCCGCGAGGGCAAAAGGTACTAGAACTGCAGGCGTCGGCAAGGACATGTTCCTCCTCCCCCTCCTCCCCCTCCTCCTTCTCCTCCTCCTCCTCCTCCTCTCCTCCTCCTCCTCCTGCTCTTCCTCCTCCTCCCCCTCCTCCTCCTCCTCCTCCTCCTCCTCCTCCCCTTTCTTCTCGATGCACGCGCTCTCCTCCCACGAACCGCGCTCGCGCAGATTGTCCGCGAGCGCAGGCCTCCCAGGGGGCCTCCAGGCGTCCCCCGGGAGGCCCTGCGGGGGCCTTCGAGAGGCCCAGAAGCGGCAAGCACTGGCCCGAAGGCATCGAAAACCTCGACCCTCGACCCTCGACCCTCGATCCTCGACCCCCGACCCTCGATCCTCGATCTTCGACTCGACCCTGGATCCTCGACCCTCGATCCTCGACCGTCGACCCTCGATCGACAACGACCCTTGACCCTCGATCCTCGAACCTCGATCCTCGATCTTCAATCCTCGACCCTCGATCCTTTACTTTGGATCCTCGATCGACAACTGCCCTCGACCCTCGATCCTCGATCCTCGACCCGCGACCGACAGCGAGCTCGTGTTCGACCGCCGCAGCTCGAGGGCGCGCGCGCGCGCGCCCAGCCCCACTCCTGGCATCAGGGAAGGGGTGCTGATCGGCGGCGAGCATAGGGGGGGAAGTCAGAGGTGGCCGGCCTTCTCAGAAGGCTCGGAAGTCCCCCGGCCTTCTGCACATTTGCCCAAGCCTTCCCCGAAGACGCAGAACACCTCTCAGAAGGCTGAGAAGCCCCATCGTCTCCTGAGAAGGCCTTCTTCTCCTCACTTCCCCCGATCGCTCGCCGCCAAGCCGAAGGAAGCTGGCCGTGGACCCTGGAAGGCTGTTCCCAAGGCCAGTTGCTCATCCCAAACCGCCCTTGTAAGGATCCCAAGGCTCGGGGGTGTCACTGCTTACACACTCTCGGCGGGTCAGAAGGATAGGGGGCGTATGGGGAGATGGGGCTCGCTTAGCACGGTCAAGGGGTTCTCGCTGAGGATTTTTTGAAAGAGACATGTTTGATCATCGTTTAGGCTCTTAGACGACAGTAGTCGGTAGCACACCTGACTTACGCACCCTGCCGTTGCAGAGCTATGGTCGCATACTTGTCTCAAATTGCTGATCCACTGATTGTAGTGAGGAACAGGACCAGTCGTCGGCAGAATATCTTTGGGTAACAACCGATCAGACTTCGAGGCCGATGACGGCGCAAAATCTAAATCCGCCCAGTGCATCCTCCCAACCCAAGCGCGGGCTCGCCTGTGCCAGGCACCCCATACAGGATCACGCCCTTGGGCGGCTTGATGCCGACGTCCTGTCGGCCGCCCGCTGCATCTCGAGGGTCCCAAAATATCCCACACCTTCAATCCTCTGGTCGCGCAAGAAATCGTGGGTGAAATTTCTGGCCTGTGGGCGCCCTCGCCTAGCCCTGAAACCGTCACAGAGAAATTCAAAATGAAAAACCGGTCCCTGGGAAGATGTCGAACTACGCTTGTCTTGTTTCACGGGATGCCAGACCATCCTCGGCATGGGCACCGTATTCTTTCTGCAGGCACAAGCGCCCGTTCGAAAGATGCCATGCATTTCTCTCTTGCGCTCTGGATGTGTGATAGTTGGGGTGCTTTCGATGTGGTGCAGACAGTGGTATTCAATGTGTATGTATTCTCATGTGTACATCGATGCATCAATATTTGTGTAGGCGTGCGTGCGGGTTGCAACATGTGTGGTGCAAGCTCTGTGTTGCAAGCAATCGGGTGCAACCCATGTGGTGCATCCTACAATACGCAATCGAATTTTGAAGAATTTGGAGCCGTAAACTTCACTTCTCGATAAAACATCCCACCCACCCACCCACCCGCAATTACTGGGCAACACTTAGCTGGCACAGTGACACGAGGACACTTATCTTGCAGATCCAAGATTTGGGCGGGCGAGTGATGATGCTAAGGACACATCGGCGACGTAAACGACGACGATGATGCTGATGATGATGATGGTGATGATGCTGCTGGTGATGATGATGATGACGAGGGCGAAAACACCGACGATGACGATGATGATTGCGATGGTGGCGGTGATGACAACGGAGATGGTGGTGGTGGATGATTGTGATGCCGACGGCAATGATGGTTCTAGTGCTGATGATGACGATGGTGCTGATGAGGGTGATGAGGACATGCGCGCGTGCAGAAGTCTCTTACAGTTGAAAAGACAACAACTGTGAGTTTCCTTATGTTGTGAACGCGTCGACGTTGACATACTTAGGAAACAAATGGCTCACAATGGTTTCGACATGCGCTCGCGAAGACGCGCGAGTGTGACCCGCAGTATATTAGTTGACTGACTTCGCGGGTGCGCGATGATTGTTGAATGCTCCCAGCATGCGCGCCCGTGTGTCCAGCATGGTCTCCGTTGGCAGAATGTCAGAACAAATGGTTTTCTTATGGTGTCCTCCTGTGCGCGGGAACAGAAACCAGGCAGCTTCCTTCACTGAGGCTGTAATGATTTCGGACAGTGTTGCTTTCAAACAGTTTGGACAGCACTGGTTTTGAGATGACCCCGACGTGTGAGCGCGTGCGGCACGCACGGTAACCTTCGTGCAGATGAGTTGACCATGCACTTGTGTCCAACGCGGATGTCCCGCATATCGTCATTCGTTGCGATGAAGGGGGTGTCAAACTGAGGGCTTTCTGATAATTTCTGCGATGGAAATCTTTGAAATTCAGAAGTGTGATGATCGCGAATCATGGATATGACAAGAAACCAATACGCGAAGGTAAGTCCCTAAGTCCGGCCCCAGCATAGAAGTATAGCTACATACTTTAGAGAAGGGAGCCTGTGTGGTTCAATCTATGTGGCGCGCTGCATGTCGTACAAACTATGGTTGACAAGGTACTTGGTCGGCACGAGGACGACGAGGAAGCCGGTGACGGCGGCGGCGGCGACGACGAGGCCGACGAGGACGACGATGCCGACCACGACGGCGACGGCGACGACGACGACGACGACGCCGACGACGACGACGACGACTGCAACGGCGACGGCAACGGCGACGGCGACGATGCCGACGACCGCGTCGTCGCCACCCTGCGCATGGGGCGGTCAAAGGGCGGGCACCGGGCGAAGGGCCGGAAGCGCAGGCCAGTGGCCAGTGGCTCAGGGGCACGAGCAAGAGCCGCTGTAGTGCGAGCACTGGTTTGGGTGGCAGATCCTTTCGGTGATGCGAGCAGAGGGAGGAGGAGGAGGAGGAGAAGAAGGAAGAGGAGGAGAAGGAGGAGGAGGAGGAGGAGGAGGTGTGCCGTTTCGGCCCGCACCTCCGGCCGCAAGGCAAGTGCAGATGCAGCGCAGACACAAAACTGCGGCGTGAGCAGGTCGTTCGTGCCAACGGGCTGGGACACGTCGTTTATGCCAACGCATATGCAGCACTTCAAGAAAGGAGCGGGTTCAGGATGGAGGGCCCCAGCCTTGTGCAGCAGGGCGAGAAGGAGGATGAGTAGGAGGAGGAGGAGGAGGAGGAGGAGGAGGAGAGGAGGAGGAGAAGAAGGAGAGAGGAGGAGGAGGAAGGAGAGGAGGAGGAGGAGGGAGGGGAGGGGGGGAAGCTGGGGGAGAGCAGCATGAGGAGGAGGAGGAGAGGAGGAGGAGAGAGGAGGACGAGGAGAGGAGGAGGACGAGGAGGACGAGGAGGAGGAGGAGGAGGAGAAGGAGGAGGAGGAGGAGGGGGAGGAGGAGGAGGGGGAAAGGAGGAGGAGGAGGAGGAGGAGGAGGAGGAGGAGGAGGAGGAGGAGGAGGAGGGAAGGGGGAGGATGGCGCAGGAGGGGCAGGATGAGCAGCAGCAGCAGCAGGAGCATGGAGGGCCTCCCCGCCACGGGTCCTTCGACCCCGAGCGCCGCAACCCGCGAGGGCCCGGCGCGGCGAAGACGCCCCCCCGCCCTCCGGAGGGGTGGCGGTCGTCGTCGTCGTCGTCGTCGTCGTCGTCGTCGGCGGCGGCGGCGGCGGCGGCGGCGGCGGCAGCGGCGGGGCCGTCGTTGATACCGTCGATGCCGTCGCCACCGTGGTCGACGTCGTGGTCGACGCCGTCGCCGTCGTCGCCAGCGACGTCGCCGTCGTCCACCGGCGGGGGTGCAGGAGCGGCGGGCGGTCCTCGTAGAGCTCGGGGTGCGTGAGCGGCAGCTCCACGGCTTCCTTCATCTCCTCGCCGCCGCCAGAGGGAGGAGGAGCTCCTGATTATCCCAAGAGCTCCCAATCCTCGCCCTCCTCCTCCTCCTCCTCCTCCTCCTCGCTCTTCCTCCTCCTTCTCGGTGCGGGGGGCATACCTTCTCGGAGGGTCTTTCGGGAAGCTCTTCTGGTGCTTCTGCTAGTGGGCTTTTCGGGGCCCAGGGAGCCTTCCACCAGCTGCGACTGTTCAGGAAGGCGCCGCCGCAGCCGCGTGGTGTCGACTCTGCCCCTGGGCAGGAGCTGGGGGTCGCTCGGGGAGCCTCTTCTCGCAGGGCGTCCCCTGGCAGCCACTGGGAGGAGGAGCAGGAGGAGGAGGGGGAGGAGGAGGAAGAAGAGGAGGAGGAGGAGGAGGGGGAGGGGGAGGAGGAGAGGGAGTAGGAGGAGTGAGAGGAGGAAGAGGAGCAGGAGGAGGAGGAGCAGGAGGAGAGGAGGAGGAGGCTTCAGGAGCACGAGGCCCTCCGCCGGCGCAGACTGAAGAACGTTCGGGGGCCCTTTTCTCCTCGTCGGGAGGGGTCATCACACCTTCCTTCACATGACTGGCCGCCGACCAGGATCGCCGACCAGGAACAATGATCCCGCACACCCACCCTCCCGATCAAACACAACATGCACGTGCCTGCAGCGTCTTGGCCATGAGCGCGCAGCCCGCGACCAGCAGGCCGTCGACAGGGATGGCCGGGGGGCGGGGGTGCCACGATGGTCCGTCGTGCTCTGGCCAACTGCCCGCATCGAAAACCGGTGCAAACTGATCGCGGGTGCACACGCCCTACCCCCTGACCACCCCGCTGACAGTTTGCATCGGCTTTTGACATCGGGGTGCCACGTGCGCTGGCGCACCCGGCGCACGCGGGGCACGCGGCGCACACGGTGTCCCCAGTGGTCCCCGGAAGAATTGTCCATCCGATGGCGACCTGAGTCTCGGGCGCTACCTTTGTGGTGGGAGGGCGGTGGGAGTGAGCGAGACAGCTTGTGGCGCTCCTGTTTGGAATTTAATCGACGCTCCGTATTCATAAGCACCCCCTCCCCACCCGACCGGCAGCCAACCTAGACCCATGACAGCACCCCCCCACCATCCCTGTCGGAAAACATTTACAAAATACACTTTGCTTCCAAATCTGGATAATTCGCGGACGCACCACGACCACTTTGTGCATCTTGTGGGACAGAGACGGCGGGGGGGGGGGCGCATATTGCCTGCCGTGTGCAATGCCTACAACCCTCGAACCATCTCTGTATCTGTGTAGAACACAAATCGACAGTGCACGCTACGGCAACATCTGGACCATGCGCGGGCAGCAGGCGATCACGTTGCATTGTTTTTTTACACGGGCGAAGCGGGGGCCAGCATGTCGCCTGCTGCGCGCAGGCCCATCCACCCTGGCAGAAAACAGAGCTACATGTGCTTCCTGGCAGCGATCCTGCGCGGGAGCCCTGGGATCACCTTGCATATGTTCTCTGGCGGAGATTGAAGGGGCCCCAGGACACACAAATAAATACACACAAGTAAAAACATGCCCCCTATTTTTCCATATTTTTGGGGCTTCTGTCTTCCCCCCCCCACTTCCCATATCTTCCCATATTTTCGGGGGAATCGAGGATGAGTTGTGTCTGTGTGTTTTTTTTTCCCTCCTGAGAGATGAGGGGAGGGGGGTGTCCTGGCACGCGCGGCGCAGCTCTCGGGGCGCCCCGCGCCTGGCTGGCGGTCCGCCTCGGCTCCCGAGCGCGGTCGATACGCGCATGGCTTTCGACAGGAGCGGCGGGGGGCGCCCTCACATGTTGACTACCTACCAGACCACCCCAACCCAACCCGAAGACCCGAATTTGAGAATCGAATTTCGGGTTGGGGGGGGGGGGTACGGGTTCCATGTGTCTTCGTCAGTGTCCCCCGACCCCCCCCCCCTCCCACTGGAAATCGAGGCTAAATCTGGGCCTTCGGGCTGGGTTGGGGTGGTTTGGTGGGTGGTGATATGTCTTGCTGCGCACAAGCCAACCATCCCTGTCGAACCATAAAACACGTAACACAACATTCAATTTGCCTCCAAACCTGGAGCATGCGCGGGCACCTCGCGACCACTTGCATGGGCTTTCGATCGGGATCCTCGGGTGCTACTTATGTGTTGGGAGTGCGGCTGGGTGTGAGCCAGACGGCGTGTGCCTTGTGGGCAGGAAGCGTCCTGATCCCTCCCCATACCCCGTTGCCTGGGTTGAGACGGGGGAGGGGTGGGGTGGGGGGGGGGGGGGGGGGGGGGGGGGGGGGGGGGGGGGGGGGGGGCGACGCGTTTGAGCGTCCGAGATGGCCCAAGCCACATAGCCCAAGATGGCGTCATGAGAACCGAGCCGACGGTGGCCGCCAACATGCGCCCGAGAGGCCCCAGGACTGCCCCAAGACGGATCCAAGTGGCCACCGAGCCTCCAAAAGATACCCCGAGGTGCCCGAATCAATCCAACGCCGAGAAGCTAGTTCCCAATTGTATGTGCCTTCTCGTCGTTTCGCTTCTGATGGCTGCACATGAAAGCACGCAGGCAGGCGCGCCGTGTCCTGCCAAAGAGGCCGACCCGCACGGGAGGGAGGAGGGAGGAGGGAGGAGGGAGGGAGGAGGGAGGAGGGAGGAGGGAGGAGGGGCAAGGCGCGGGGGCCGCAGGCCTCACATGTCGCTCCCCTGCACGAAATCATATTCACATGCTTTCCAGTCTCCTTCGCAATTTTACCGTGCTCCCTGGACGCCTCTGATGGCCGCACATGGGGCCCTTGAAGGGCTCCAAAACGGCCGCGAAGACTCCCAAGAACGCCCCCCAAAGCGCCTCAGGAGGCCCCCTGGCGGCTATTGTCTGGGCTCGGACAAGGGGTACCTCATTAACGCCGACCCGTCCGTTTGTTCGATTGCTTCCATCATGGCCCCAAGATGATCCCCGAAAACGCCCCAAGAAGGATTCGTAGCGTTCCGAAGGCCCCCCCTCCAAAGCTCCAAAGCCCCCCCCCCCCACAGCAGAGGCTCCCATTCGGTCTCTAAGTTCACCATGGTTTGCTTGCTTGTTGCAGCAAGCTTATCGACTGCTCTTCTCCCGACAGCTCACTTGGGTATCGTTCTGGATGCTCCCCCGCACGCCACGACACGATTACCTTAATCGATAACCTTGAGCCGCAAGCACTACATACCACCACAGCAGGGTGCGCCGCAGCGTGAGACGGAGGAACGCTTGGCGGCCCTTGATTGGCGCTCGTCCGCGAGCAAACGTCTCGACCGAGAAATGAAACGAATCGGCAGGACAAGCGGCACGAGGTGACATGGGCATCGTTTCTGGATGGGCTGTTGGGGAGCAGAAGGGGGAGGAGGAGGAGGAGGAAACGGAGGCGGAGGAGGAAGAGGAGGAAGAGGAGGGGGTGGAAACGGAAGATGACCAATTTAAACACAAGACTCATCAACGATGTTGGAATACACCCTACCTCCAAGTTCCCTCCTCATTCCTACAATGATTCATGTCAACTGAGGGTAGTGCCCCGTTGGGGGGCAACCGTGTGAAAATCCAGAAGCGTGCCGAAACACCAATCTCAAGACATCAGCGCCACGAGTCAACCTGACTGGTGCGTCTTGACAATCCGGCATCGTGCCAGAACACAATCCTTGGGATTTCAGCACCGCGAACCAACGTAACTCTTGAGCCCTGACAGTCTTGACTCGTGCCGCAATGCCAGTTCTGATACGTCAGCCATGAGAATCCATGAAACAACTGCAAGATCTTGAAACGAAGGTGGGCGGTGATAAAACGATAACCACGTTTTGAGAAAACAGCGCCCTCCATCCGTGAAGCTCTTGTGAACTTTTGAAATGAATGTTCGCGGCGCTACGGCGATAATCACATTTTGAAAGCGACCCGCCCTCAATCCGCGAAGCTCTTGAACATTGCCAAAACAACTGCGCGCGGCGCTGAAGCGAGAGACACATTTTGGAAGCGATCCGCCCTCCATCTATGGGGCTGTTGACAGCTTTTCAGAATTTCGGGCTCATGAATGGTGAGGAAGCCTCGGGAAGCACCGGCCGCCCCTCCGACTGGCCTCGGGGAGCGACAGGGAGGAATGCTTCGTAGGGGGTACGGGTGGACGACAAGTGTAAATCAAAACTCAGCACCGACATTTCACTACACCCTCTGTCCCAAGTCCCTCTTCACAATGCCCTACATCAACTCATTTACACTGAAAGACGTGCTTCGTTGAAAGACAACCACTTGAAAATCCAGCGATCCTGAATCGTGCCGAACACCCTTCCTCGGACTTCAACTAACACCGCGAATCAACGTGACTGTTACGTCCTGACAATCCGACATCGTGTCAATACACCAACGGTGGGACGTTAACCGCGAGAAACCTGGAAACATGTACAAACTCTTGAGACCAATGTGCGCGGCGATAAGGCGAGATCCACATCTTGAAAAAAACGCCATTCCTCCGTGAAGCTCTTGCGAACTCTTAAAACGACTGTGCGCGGCGCTACAACGAGAACCACGTTTTGAAAAGGAGCCGCCCCCCAACCGTGAACTCTTGCGAACTTTTAAACGTCTTGTGCGCGGCGCAAAAGCGAGAACCACATTTTGCAAACCACCCGCCGTCCATCTGTAAAGCTCTTACGTACTTTGAAGAGGTATGTGCGTGGTGTTGAAACGCTGGCCCTATGTTGAAAACGATCCGCCCTCCATCTGTGAAGCTCTTGGAAAGTGTGTCGAAATCACAAATGGTTTGGAAGTCTCAGGCGAAACTCCCGGCCCGCCTTTTCGACCGGATTCGGGTTGCGACAGGGAAGAACTTTATGTAGGGATGGAGGAGGAGGAGGAAAAGGAGGATCATGAGGAGGAGGAGGAGGAGAAGGAGGAGGAGGAGGATAACGCCTACATCGACGCCTACATCGCGGCCCCCCGATAGTTCCGATGACACAGGCTGCGCGCCCAGGACGAGCTCACGCTGCTCCGCGTCTTCGCCAGCGGCGCGGCCCTGCACCGCGCGAGGGCGCACCTGCTGGACGAGGCGTGGTGTCACGTCTACGACGCGGTGGTTCTCGGCCACGCGCGCGGGGACTTGAAGCCGCTCGCTGGGCGCCAGGAGCTCCCTTCCCACGCGCGCGACCAGGACCTCCTGCCCTTCGCCGCTGGCGGGCTCGGGCTCCAGGACCTCCCGCGCCCCAGGCTGCCAGCCTTCGTGGGGGCCTGGCAGGCGTGCTTGGCCTGCGTCTGCAGGGAGCTTGGGCTACCCCGCCTCGAGGCCTTCCAGCGGACTTGCCCGACGGCGCGGGGGGAGGCCAAGGGCACGGGCTGCGCGGTCCTGGCGCGCGGCGCAGACTGGCTGCGCGTCGCTGCGGGGCCGAGGGCCAAGGCGCAGCGGGCCCTCTGCCTGGGCGGCCGCGTCGGCCTAGGACGGCGCTGCCGCGGCGGTTTCGGATGAGCGCAAGCGTCTGCGCTACCCGGGCCCAGCTCTCGCAGCCTTCGCGCTGGAGATCCTGAAGCGCGCTGGCGCGGAAGCGCAGGCGCTCTTCCGCACTTGGGCGCGCGGCGACGCCGCCGTGTTGGCGGCGGCTCGCCTCAGCCTCCCGGCAACTCTGCAGCGCGGACGCCTTCCGCTCCGCTTGCCTCGGCGCGCGTGGAGCGGCGCGCCGCGAGGCAGGCGGCGCCGAGCCGGCGGCCCGCCGCGCCCGTGCGCGAGCTGAGCTGGGGCGCGCGCCTGGCTCAGCGGGGCGGCAAACCGCCGGGGCACGCGCTGCTCATGCACTTCGCCGCGGGCGCGGGGCGCGCGCCTGGGGCGGCGGCGGCGCGGCTGCGGCTCGGGGGCTGGGCCGGGACGCCTGTCAAGTTGGTGTGAGGCTGCGGCCAAGTCGGCGTGAGGCAGAGAGCTCCTAGCGGCGGCGCGGCGCTGCTGGGCGGTCGCGAACGCGGCCGCAGTTGGGGTGGCGGTCGGGCGCCGCGCGGCAGCGGCGGAGGCTGGCGGACGGCCGCTGCGGCGGGGCGCGTCCGCCAGCTCCAAAGCGCCGCCAGGGGCTGCAGGGGCGGCGACGCGCAAGGCAGGTGCGGCGCCGCCAGGGGCCGCCCGCGGCGCCTGCGAGCCGGCGGCGGCGCTGGCGGCCAGCCGCGGTGCCGCTGGCGGCCAGCAGCGGCGCGCGGGCGGGCGCGCGCGGCGCGTCGCCCGCTATCCAGGGGGGTCCCCGCAGACTCGGGATCCTTGGGGCTGAATGAGGAGAAAGAGGAGGAGGAGGCGGAGGAGGAGGAGGAGGAGGAGGAGAAAGAGGAGTGAGGAAAGGAAGAAAGGAGGAGGGAAGGAGGAGGGAGAGGAGGAGGGGAGGGGGGAGGGAGGAGGAGGAGGAGAGGAGGAGGAGGAGGAGCACGAGAGAGGAGGAGGAGGAGGAGGAGGAGGAGGGGAGGAAGGAGGAGGAGGAGAGGAGGAGAGAGGAGGAGGATGAGAGGAGGAGGAGGAGGAGGAGGAGGAGCACGAGGAGGAAGATGAGGAGGAGGGGAAGGGGAGGAGGAGGAGGAGAAGGAGGAGAAGGAGGAAGAGGAGGAGGAGGAGGAGGAGGAATAGGAGGAGGACCAGTGTAAACCCAAGAGTCGTCAACGATGTTGGAATGAACCCTCCCTCCATGCTCCCTCTTCATGGGCTCCTACAGCGATTCGTATCCACTGAGGGAACTTGTGCGCTGAAAGACAACCGTTTGAAGACTCTGAAGCATGCCATAAGATTATCCTCGGGATTTCAACGCCACGGTTCAACCTGACTGTTGCGTCTAGACGAGCCTGAATCGTGCCAGAACGGCATTCCTGGGAGTTCAACGCCGCGAATCAATATAACTGTTGCACCCTCATCGCCCTGAACCCTTCCAAAACACCGTTTTTGGTGGGGTGATCATGGGAGTCCGTGGAACTCTTGCAACTTTCAGAAAGGAATATGCGCGGCGCTGAAGCGAGAACCACATTTTGAAAAGGAGCAGGCCTCAATCCGTGAATCTCTTGTAAATGTTTAAAACAAATGTACGCGGCGCTAAAGCGAGAACCGCATTCTGAAAACCACCCGCCGCCCATCTGTAAAGCTATATCTTCTCATAACAGAAAAAAAAAACGCATAACAAACGAGTGTGTGCAGCACTAAGGCGAGAACCATCGTTTGAAAACAATCCACCCTCCATCCGTGAAGCTCTTGAGATCCACATTTTGAAAACCACCCGCCCTCCATTTGTGAAACTGTTGTCAATGTTGAAGCCTCAGGGTCATACATGGTGAGGGAATCTCAGGCGACATGCCCGGCACGCCCTAAAAACTTGCCTCGGGGTGCGACAGGGAGAAACTATGTATAAGGAAAAGGAATGGCGGAAGACGAGGAGGAGGACCAGTGTAAACCCAAGAGCCGTCAATGGTGTTGGAATAAACCTTTCCTCCAAACTCCCTCTTCACAGGCTCGTGCAATGGTTCATTTCCACTGAGGGAACTGCCTCGTTGGAAGACAACCAGTGGAATACCTTGCAACATGCCAAAACATTGTTCTCAGGATTCCAAGGCTACGGATCAACCAAGCCGTTGCGTCTTGACGATCCTGAACCGCACCAGAACGCCATTCCTGGGACTTCAACGCCGCGAAGCAATGTAACTTTTGCACCCCATAGTCCTGAATATTTCCAAGACACGATATCTGATACGCTGATCATGGGAACCCGTGAAACTCTTGCAAATCTTTTAAACCATGTGCGCGGCGCTGAGGCGAGAACCACATTTTGAAAAGGAACCGCCTTCAATCAATGAAATTCTTGCGATTTCTTAAAAGTGAATGTACGCGGTATGAATGCGAGGGCCACATGTTGAAAACCACCCGCGTCCATCTGTGAAAATCTCACTATTTGTTAAACGAATGTGCGCGGCAGGAAGAGGAGGAGACGAAGGAGGAGGAGGAGGAGACGGAGGAGGAGGAGGAGGAGGAAGAAGAGGAGGAGGAACCAGGAGGCAGGAGGAGGAGGAGGAGGCGGATGAGGAGGCGGAGGAGGAAGAGTGGGAGGAGAAGGAGGAGGAGGAGGAGGAGGAGGAGGAGGAGGAGGAGGAGGATGAGAAGGAGGAGGAGGAGGAGGAGGAGGAGGAGGAGGAGAAGGAGGAAGGGAGGAGGGGGAGGATGAAGGGAGGAGGGGGAGGAGAGGAGGAGGAGAGGAGGAGGGGAGGAGGAGGGGAGGAGGAGAAGCGTCAATAATTCGGCCCCACAACGCCACGTCGGCTCAGCGCGCATCATCTTGGCGGCAGGTGAAGTGGCAAACCCACCAAGCGCTCGGTGTTCAAGGCGGGCACTTCCCGTGATGGAGCGGAATACGTTTAGGGACTTACGATCGGGAACGCTTGCTCAGCGGCCCCGGCGACACGCTATGCCTTGCGAGTGGATGCCATGTCGCTCAACTCCGCGGTGCGGGAGGCCGGAAAACGCAGGACGTCGACGCTTGGGGACTGAGACGTGAATAGCGTGTCGCGCCGAGGCGTGGTGGGCCATAACTGGCGGCTGGACACGCTAAGCAACAATTCCTGACCGGACGTGAAGTCGTCATCGTTGCAGCATCGTTGATGTATCCTGGGTTCGCTCTGGTGGTCCTCCTCCTCCTCCGAGCTCTGCGCCACTCGGAGGCTCGCCTCGATAGCACCAACCGCCCACCCAGTGAGCGAATGACGCCTCAGGGGGACTGGCCCCTCCTCAGACACACTGGACGGCGACGGGTCTTTCCCCCTACTTCAGGGTCGGCAGGGCCTTGCCCTTCCAGTGGGTGCCCAGGGCCACGGGACACGGACGGGCCATATCCTAGAACTTCAAGCGGGCACACGCCCCAACAACGATCCTCCTCCTCCTCCTCCTCGTCCTCGTCGTCGTCGTCCTCCTCCTCCTTCTCCCCCTCGTCTTCCTCCTCCCCTCCTCCTCCCTCCTCCTCCTCTCCTACTCCCTCCTCCTCCTCCTCCGCCTCCTCCTCCTCCTCATCCTCTTCGCTCCTCGCTCATCGCTCCTCCTCCTCCTCCTCCTCCTCCTCCTCCTCCTCCTCATCCTCTTCCTCCTCCTTGTCGTCGTCGTCGTCGTCCTCCTCCTCCTCCTCTCATTACCCCTCATATTGCGAGCCGCCTGCAGAAGGCTCCGGGCCTTGTGCGAACTGTTGCCCGAGCTGGTAACCGCATCGGAAATGGCTACAGGGCCGCTGGCCACAGAGCTGAAGGCACAGCCGGCTCCTGGATGAGTGGAGGAGGAGGAGAAGGAGGAGGAGGAGGCGGAGGAGGAGGAGGAAAAGGAGGAGGAGGGGGAGGAGCGAGGAGCGAGGAGCGAAGAGGAGGAGGGGGAGGAGGAGAAGGAGGAGGAGGAGGAGGAGGAGGAGGAGGAGAGGAGGAGGAGGGAGTAGGAGAGGAGAAGAAGGAGGATGAGGCCGGCTCCTGGATCTGCTCCTCGAGGCCGCCGATGTCTGAGTACGTCTCCAGCGGCGCCTTGTCCACCTGCGCAAGAAGACACCGCGGGGGAGCTGGTGTCGCGCAACTGAGCGTGGTAGGTAGAGACAGCGGCGAGGCTCCTCCTCCTCCAACTCGTCTTTTTTTTGTTCTCCTTGTCTTCCTCCTTCTCCTCCTCCCTCTCCTCCTCCTCATCATCCTCATCCTCATCCTCATCCTCATCCTCATCCTCATCCTCATCCTCATCCTCATCATCCTCATCCTCTCCTCATCCTCATCCTCATCCTCATCCTCATCCTCATCCTCATCCTCATCCTCATCCTCTCATCCTCATCCTCATCCTCACCTCGATTCCTCATCCTCATCCCATCCTCTCCCCATCCTCCTCATCCTCATCCTCATCCTCATCCTATCCTCATCATCATCATCATCATCATCATCATCAGCATCCTCCTCCTCCTCCTCCTCCTCCTCCTCCTCCTCCTCCTCCTCCTCCTCCTCATCATCATCATCATCATCATCATCATCATCATCATCATCCCCTTCCCCCCCCTTCCCCCTGCATCCCTCCAGACGGGTCGTGGGCACGGAAGCAGGGCCTCCAGAGGCCGAGAACGGCGAAGCAAGAGTCGTCGCGTTTTTTTGCTGCAGCGCCCAGACCGAAGACCCCCTTATAAGGCAGTTTTTAATCCATAGGATTTTTAAACATATCGCATTTTAATACATGATTAATTTATGAATGAATGTATGCATGAACTCATCGTTGTTTTTAATACTACATCCCTGCATGTTTAATACATGATCCGCACGCGGAGCATGCATAAAAAAACGGCACTGTATGACCATTTCTCATACCATTGCCCTCTCTTACGCACCACCAGGCGTGTCAGTAGGCTGGACCAGGCGCTTCGCTCGACGCTTGCGTCCAGCCTACCGTTCGGGAACCCAAGACGGCCACCCAGAATGCGGCTCTCGCCCTGGCGCCGCGCACATTCAGCTTCGAATGCTCCGGCAACTTCGATGGTGGAGGCCGACTCGCTTTCGATCCGCGGCCCTCGGACTCCGTGTCCCGCAGCTCCGAACCAGGCACAGAGGAGGCACGGACGAAGGGCGGCTTCCTTTTGCAGAGTGGTGCTCTTGCTTGAGACTTCCCGAGAATCCTCCTCCTCCTCGTCCTCCTCCTCCTCCTCCTCCTCCTCCTCCTCCTCCTCCTCCTCCCCCCTCCCCCCCTCCTCCCCTCCCCCTCCTCCTCCCCCTCCTCCTCCCTCCTCCTCTCCTCCTCCTCCTCCCTCCTCTCCTCCTCCTCCGCCTCCTCCTTCATCCTCCTCCTCCTCCTCCTCCTCCTCCTCCTCCTCCTCCTCCTCCACCAACGGCAACCCCGAATTTGTGCAGCACTTACACGGATGGAGGGCAGATCCTTGTCGAAGCGGGGCTGTCGCTTGACACTTGCCTGCGATTTCTCATCCAGCGCGCCTCTTTTGATATTCCTGCAGTTCGAAAGATGGAGGGTGGATCTTCTACAAGCAAGGGTCTCGCCTGAGAGGCAGGCTAACCTTGCGCTCGTCATTCAAGAGGGCGCTTCCTACAGCTGAAGTGAATACGTGTAGGGACTTCTGATGGGGAGGCCTGGGACGTGACGGTATATTGCAGCACCGCTGATGCATCCTGGGTTTACTCTGGTCATCCTGCCCCCTCTCTCCCTCCCCGCCTCCTTCTCTCTTTCTTTCTTTCTTTCTTTCTATCTCTCCCTCTCTCTCTCTCTCTTCTCCCATCCTA